TGCCTTGCAACACTTGATCCATTCTTTCCCAACCCCCAACACATCATGGGGTGGAGAAGGGGAGAAGAGTCGACTCCTTCAGCTTCTCTTGCCTTGGGAGGGGAACAATGCTGAGGTTTTGGATATTCAGGGAGTTTTGACACTTGTCACCGACCCTGACAGGGGTGCAGTCATGGTGATCTTGGAGTCCTCTGCTGCTTCTGTGGGACAGACACACACCTCTGCTTGTTCCCACACATCTGTCACAGGAAACCTTCCCTGACTGACTCTGCATGATAATTTGCCCTGACCCCCAAAGCGAGTGAGAATTGAGGGCTGGCTTCAGGCATTAGTTTTACTAGGAGGACTTGAGGTTTGGGCTTCTTTTAGCATTTTAAAAGAAGCTATTAATTGTTATAAGTGCAGAAGTAAGTATTGTGACTTAGAGAAATGAAACTAGATTCCAGGTAGCTGAGGCAGGTGTGTGGGTTGGTGGTGGTGATAGAACATTACACAGGGACAGAGAGACAAACACCGAGGACTGCGATGTGCTGACACCAAGTGCTGGAAACTCCAGAGCCATCTTCACCTAACCAAAAGGCGATCACTCCCAAGACAGACTGGGCTTGTTCTGCATGGCCCCGGGGCAGATCTTGGACTCCGGGGAGGAAGGAACAAGGAGGTAGGCCAGGTAGAAAGAGCGTCTTCCAACAATTGTTCCACTGCATTTGCTTCTGCCCTGATAGAAGGGAAACTTTCTCAAATACATCTCTTCCTCCCTGTCCCTGAGAGTGGATACCGAGATTTCACCTTTTTTGCAGGTAACTCATAGTCAATGTGATTAATATTATGCATTTTGCCAAGCCAAGAGGCCCCTTTAAGGCAGAGGAAATCATTTGTCCACACAGGGCAATTTAGAAAACACTGAAGGCCCTACTGCAATGCTTTTTGAGTTCTTGTAAATACTTTTAATGATGTCCCTACCTGCTGTCATTTCTCTCTGCTGTCATTCTGTCTGTAATACACTTTTTGCTACTCCAGATATACTGCTTCTAACTTGTAGGCAGGAAACCACAGTTCCAAAATTATTAGAACCCTATATAAGGTAAGATTTTAAAAATGGGTAAAATAAATGGGTTCTGAGTAAGTGTTCTTGTGAACAAAGTACATGAACCTTAGTCAGTGTTTGCTTTAGATAACCCTTCTGGGCTCACATGGGCCCTATGTGCACCTTGCCACCCTGGCTGTCAGCACTGATACACTGACCTGTCAGGTCCCCAAGGATGGGCACCATGGCTTTCTCACCTTTGTGTCTGCAGTGCCTGTCACATAGTAGTAACTCAATAAATGCTTGTCGAGTGCATGAGTAGCCTGGGGGCGGCATCTGTTTGGGCAGGTTGGACGCCTTGCTCTGCTTTGTTTGCCACATTTCTGGTTTGGGGAAACATTCCTCCCAGGCAGGCGAGGTTGCTGGTGGTAGAGCCCCAGAGAGAAGTAAACCTGTTTCTAGTTGGAACTCCCCTTAGTCTAAAGGGAAAGCACCGTCCCTCCCCTTGGGATAAGCTGCCTGGGTTGCTTGTGGTTTTGATGCTGATATCCCTCACTGGGTAGGAAAGCTCAACATTGCACTTAACTGTCTGCACAAGAACCCAAGACAGGAAGGGCGGGGCTGTGCCCCACCCTGTTGCTCCTTAGCTGCCTCCCTCAGCTCCCTGGGGCTCCGTCTGCCCTCTATTCACTTCCTTTCAAAGAGGGCGAGGCTTTGTAGGTGCTTTAGTTTCTGTGTCTGGGATATGTCTGGGTCTCATTGGGTTCAGAGTCCCTCAAGGAGAAAGAAACCTCTTTCTTTCTTTAGTTTGGGAGTTTCCTGAGACTTAGGTTCATATCGCTTCTCCTTTGACTGGGGGTTCCCTGTGGCAGTGTCTGCTTTCTCCACTACTTCACAGGGCAGGAAGAAGCTGGTGGTGGGAGGGCTGAGAAAGGGGCTTCTTTCTTCCCATCTTTACTCACAGCCTGCTGGCTCCAGGATGCTGCATGGGGAGGACAAGCTGGGGCCTGCCTTAGGCCTCCCAGTTCGTGCCTCAGAGCTGGACCAGGAGTGTGGCTGGAGTCTCCTGGCACCTGGAAACTTTGTTTCTGGCTCCAACACATCTTGGTAGGAGAGGTTGGTCTTGATGAGTGCGGCCCACTCTTCCTCTGTATGTACCAGGCAGATGGGCCATAAGCAGGCAGCAAAAATGAGGCCGTGTGGCTGCCTTGCCAGGGCCCCAGAGGCATCTTGGAACCTGGGTCCTCTGATCCCTGGTCCCTGGCAGAGATAAGGATGGGGGTGAAACCAGTTATGCCACCCTTTTCTGCCTGCCCAGTGGACAAGTACAACCCACAGGTCAGGGTGCTAAGGGAAGGAGGGGTTCGGTGACTGTTGTTCCAGGTGGGAGCGTCTCTGAGCCTGTGGAGGCCCCGCTTTGTCCAGTCTCCTGTGATGGGCTGAGCTGGAGTTACGGCTCCTGAAGCTCTCATCCCACCAAGTTCTGACTCAGGGACCCCAACTGGCTGGGGTGAAGAGGTGTATCCCTGGAGATGGGAGCCAATGAAACATCTCCCCTGCCCCTTCCCCAAGCCTCTGTTTGTCTTCTCTCTTCCTTTCTACCTGTCCTTGCTCCAGAGAGGGAAAGGAATTTGAGCCAGAGAGGACCTAGGGGGATAACTGGTAGAAGGTTTATTAGCCAGTGCTCCAGGAACCCTCCTGATCAGGGCTCCAGGCAAAGCTGCCCTCCTTGGATCCTGCCCCATCCTGAGTGCACCTTAGAGATTTGGGGATAAGTGTCAGGGTAAGGGAGCTAACTCTCTGCAGACCTTAAAGGTTCAGTCTCTGCTGCTCAGGATGACAGGGATTTGAATGAGACTCCAGGAATGGGCACCAATGGTAGAGACACAGGGCCCCACCTGTTCCCCCACCCTTCCACCTCCACAGATCCACACAGTCTGTTTCCCAGAACCCACAGGGACGTGGCCCAGCCTGATTCCAGTAGGGGGTGGGTGAGCCGAGTGGGGCAGACTCAGAGAGTGGCAGGGGAGGGACTGATGGAGGGTTTGATAGGAATGGGCCGGGGTTCCAAGGCCCAGACCAGGGTGTGGCTGGGGTAGACGGTCAAAGTTGCAGCCTGAACTTTCCCACACCCTAGTTCCTTCCCTTATCCCTGAGCATCCCTAGAAGTGAGGAGGCTCATATCTCCTGAGAAAAGAGAATGAGTGGGGTGTCCCAGGTTTTTCTGACATGAATCAAATTGAGGCTCCCTGGATGATATGAGAGCTCAGTCTTAAATTGGTGGGAAGAGCCTGAGGGATGGAGAAAGGAGTGGGGGAGAGGGATTGGAAAGGAGACAGGGACATCAGGATGGGTCAGAGGGACCGGGGGAGGTGATGGATTCTTCTTTGCTGCTCCTTGAGTGGACACCCAGTCTGCCCCAGGCTCTTCCCCAACCTGGGTGGAACCCTGGTTCAGTGGTTCTTATCTTCAGTTTCTATTGGGGCTCCTACAAGCTTTCCCAAAGCAGCTGTTTCCTCCTTGGAGTCCACATGGGCGGATCACTCTACATGGGGGCAAAGGACAGGCTGTGTTGACCTCTCTGGGCCCCTTGAGAAGCCTGTTTGGTGATAGGGATATCTCATATAGCCCCCTGCTTCAGCCAACTTGGTCTCCACCCTCTTACCCCCTGCCAGGAATTCTTTCATTAACTTTGAGCACTAGTAGTTTCTCCTACCCCCTGCTCAGATTCCTGCTGAGAGAAAAGAAGATTGCCAGAGGGTAATAGCTTCCTCTCCCTTTGCTTCTTATGTCCCCCCAGCAAGCTGGAGACTGCCAGCTGATGCCTGATGCCCAGACTCTGCCCTCCTCCCCTCCTCTCCTTTCTCCAGGCCCCCTCCATTCCCCATCCTTCCAGCTTGTCATCATTAATTCATAGGCCCTGGCATTTCCAGCAGTTAGACTCTAGTGTCAGGAGCTGAGTGTCTAGTGCCAGGTAGGAAGGGAGAGAGGAGCTGGTACCCACCCCATCAGGAGCACCCACCAACAAAGGGTGAAGGTCTCAGCACCCTCCCCCTCCTCATTGCTAGGCCACATGTGTTCAAGAATTTGAACAATAAAAAAAGAATCAAAAGCATTAATAAAAGTGACTTTACTGAGTTGTTCCGGGGTGATGTTCTGGGGGTGGGGAACCTTCTGATTCTCCCTACCCCTGCGCCCAGCTCTCCAATGAGTGACCCATCCCCAGCTCCCCAAGAGAAAGAGTTCAGGAACCCTTCAGTATATAAAGGAGGGAGCAGAAAGATAGGGAGTCTCTGGAAAAGGAAGAAGGGGGCCCTAAGCCAGGGGTTCCCCCAAAAAGATCAAGGGAGAAGAGCCTGGGGCCAAGAGAGAGGCAGAAGTGAGGGGGGAGCCTCTCCGTAGAGGCGGGAGAGAGGAGGAGCCCACAGGGTCCTTCTCAGTGTGACCACACCCTAACTAACTTCCCGCCCTCACCTCCAGCTTGGTGCCTCCAACCCTTCGCCCCCTTTGCTCCCTGTTTCAACCCCAAGGTAGGTCTTGCTGCTGCTCAGGCCCTCCGCGTTGTTTTACACCTTCCTTGCCTTTGAGCACTGCCTTTCAGCCAGGGTCCTCCCTCTTCTGCCCAAGGCCCTTCTCATTCTCGGAGTCAGTTCAAACACCCATGCAGGGAAGCCTCTGAGGTCAGCTTGGCCAGGCAGAGGCTCCCTCCCTCATGCGCCCACGGCTGTGGGCTCTGACCTCCGAGCTGGTGCACTCGCCGCCTACATTCCTGTTCTGTCGTCCCCCCGCCACTGCGGACTCGGGAGCTTTGAATCTTGCACAATCTGGGCCCCAAGTAGGCACCAAAAACCCCAGGCACCAATAATGGTGTTGGTAGGGGAGACAGAGGAGGAAGGGGGTGGAATTTGGGGGACGGGATGGGGCTGCAGAGGAGGCAGAGGGGGTGGGAGGGAAAGAGGAGGGGGCCTGGTCCTCAGACCATTGTGCTGACGGTGGAGGAGTCTTCCGAACGCATAGGCACCTCAGGGGCCTTCTTGAGGGGGCGTCGGGTCTCATCCCGATTCTGCCACACATAGTGGACCAGATAAGCCACCACCAGTGCCAGCCAGCCCCCCATGGTGACCAGCAGGGCCACGTCTGTGCTCCGCCGGGCACCACCCCGCCCAGTCCCACACAGCTCTTCCTCCCCTGCCAGCGACAGAAACTCCTGCCCCACGAGGTCTGGTGGGGCTCCTGGGCCACACACGATGCCTGTCCCAGTGCCCGGTGCCAGCCTCACCTGTCTGAGAACCTCCTGGAGGGCACAGTCACAGCGCCATGGGTTGGCAGACAGGTTCACTTGGATCTGCAGCCCCATGAAGGCCTCCACAGGCACTGAAGCCAGCTGGTTGGCAGAGAGGTCGAGGTGCCGCAGTGTGCCCGCCAGGCCTTGGAAAGCAGCCCCTGAGAGGTGGGCAAGGACATTATGGGACAGATCCAGCTCCTCCAGAACAAGCAGGTGCTGGAAGGCACCAGCTGGCACCGATGCCAGTCGGTTGGCATCCAGGTAGAGCTTGCGGGTGTCGTTGGGGATGCCAGTGGGCACGGCACTCAGACCTGCCTGGCTGCAGCGGAAGGTCCGCTCACCAGCTTCCTCTGCTATGTAGCAGCCCTGGGGAGGTACCGGGGGGCTGGGCATGGTAACCCCTGTGCCCATCACCAGCAACAGTGACAGGAGGTGACTGGCTGGTGGGAGCATGGCCACAGATTGGCATAGTCCTGGAATGGAGTAGGATCTGGGGAAGAGAAAGTTCCATAAAGAAATAGTGAGCCAAGAGAATTCCATTCCCCACTGCCAGCTCCCTCTTCCTGAGGGCTCCCTGGGGAGTCTCTTTGGACTGGGGACCCTCCTTTGGGGGATCTCTCAGGCCTGGGTGACTTTTTGCTTCATCTTTGGGGTTTAGGGCTCCTCATTCAGGTCCTTTGGGTAAAAGATCCCCTGGGCCTGAGACTCTTCTAGGGTCTCTCTGATTCTGGAGGGCTAATCTATGAAGTCTCTTGGGCCAAGGCCCTGTTGTCATGCTGAGCCTGGGGGCTTCTAAGTTTCTGCTTCTGCCCATGTATTGATCTTCCTCACTGGAATAAAGTCTTTTTCCACCAACTTACCTGGGTGGCTGCCAGGTGGGCCAGGTGGGCACCAGAGGGCCAGTTGGCACTAGTGTGAAGAATACAAAGAGGACAGATCAGTAATAGGACTTCAGGGCATCCAACTAGGCTAGGTGACTAAGGTCCCACCTCTATGCCCATCCACCCCTTTTCCTGGAGCATCCACCTCTCTGCCTGCCCCAGCTTTGTCTTCTCCACCCCACCCCTTCCTGCCCTGTCCTCTCCCTCCTCCAGGCCTCTCACCTCTGTTGGTGGGAGAGCCTTCTCCTGGGCTGCCCTCTCCCCGGAAGTAGCCTCCCTGCTGCTTTGCTCTGGAGACCCACTTCCTTCTCTAGAAGCCCTGCTTGCTCATAGCTGCTAGAAGGTGGAGGCTGGGACCCAAGAGTATTGGGTTTCCTGGCATGTGACTCGAGGCCCCAGGTATCAGATACCTGAGCCATGGCCTGGCCAGACGATGTCAAGGGAGGGCAGATCCTGGACCCTGATGAACTCTGCCTGGGGAGACCAGGCGCCAATTCCATTCCCTGCCTCAGGTTCCCCTCCCAAGGCCTGCCGCTGTCATCTTCCATTCCTCCTCTCTCAGCTGGGGAGGAGACTCTTGCAGCACTTCTTTCCCTTGCCCAGAGCCTGGCTTGGCAGGCCTGTGGGGCAGAACCAGGTGAGCTTGATCTCACATCCATTGCTTCCAGCTCCCCCCAACTCTATCCCTTCCCCCACTCTCCTTCTCTGCCTTCCTACTGCACCCTGTAGCACCTTCTTCCCTGGTGTGCAAACTTGGCTCTGCCTTTTCCTTAGAAAGCTGGTCTCTCTCTGGAGGACTTCATCTCCTGGCTCCTCACAGGGTGCCCAGCCCTCTTGCCTGGCAGGGACTACTATGGTTCAATTTTAGTTTGTTCTCTGCACTGTTGGTAGATGGCCCCTCTAGGATTTGGAAGAGGTTCTTCAAGGTGCCTAATGTCTGATACGGTTGCCTACAAGTTTTCCTGTTGATTTTATGTTCTGGATTGGCACTGACTCAGGTCCCCTCAGTTTGCTGGGGCATTAGGTTCCAAAGTTGGTACTTTTAACTCTGTTTCATGCTCAAGAACCAAGGAAGGCTGGGACAATATTCCCCAGGGCCTCTTGATCCCACCCATCATTTGCAGCCCAAGCCACCATGTTACACCGCCCCCTCCTAATGTTCACTGGGTAGTGAAAGAGAGGGGTTTCGCAAAGACGTGCACAGAGGAGGCTGAGGTCAGATGCTGTGGAGGCCTCTCTGAGAAGGAAAACCTTGCTGGATTTTGTAAGAGACTGTGGGTGACCAGGCTCAGACACAATTGCAGGACCCAGTGCAAAATGAAAATGTGGGGCCCCTTGTTCAAAGACTGTTTTGAATGTCAAGATAGAGCAGTGGATGGCAGAACCAGGGACAGGGCTCTTCTGAGCACAAGGTGTGGCGCCCTGGGCAACGGCACAGGTCACATGCCTACGAAGCTGGCCCTGTGCAGGTGACCTTTGAACAAGCAGTGTCAGAAGCGTAACAGGGGCCAGAATCAGATGGTAGGATACTGGATATCATCTCTGGGGATGTACTGACCACTGACTCATTCTTGTGACATCTACAGGGCATTCCTCACACTCACGTTTGTCCAAGGAATCAGTTAAGATACATTTTCTGCACTTGGGCAGGAGAAGCGAAACATTTGTCTGTGGGGTGCTTGTTTGTTAGACCAGGCACTGTGCCAGTGAGTAAATACTTCAGTGTCCGTTTTGGGATTGTAGCTGCACATGGAAAAGAAAGCATGTGGAATACAAGCCCTCCCACTGCTCTTTTCTCACACAGGGCCGGGTGGTTAGCTAAGGCATAAGAGCTGAGCCTGGCTCTTGATGGAGAGAGCTGCCTCCTTTTCAGATTAAGGTGGTTGCCAAAAAGTGTGGGACTGGGGTGCCCAGCACAGCACCTGAAGGAGAGGCAGAGGTCTGTGCACATAGGAGAGGCCATCTGGAGCATGGATGTGGTTAACTGAGGGAGGCTAAGTGTGGTGCTCGGTAGAAAAGGGAGACCCGAGAGGAAGGAAGAGCCACACTTAGCATGGTGCCCAGGACAGGCTGAGGGTTGACAAGGTTGGAGCAGAAATTCTTCTCTGCCATTCATTCATTCATTCATTCATTCATTCATTCATTCATTCAGTGAGGATTTCCGGGGAGCCCCATGTTTCAAACACTGGGCTTGTCGAAGGGTATACAGACAACTGTTTTTTGTGTGTGTTTTTTAATTTAAAAATATATCTTTATTGATTTCAGAGAGAAGAAGAGAGACGGAGAGAGAGATAGAAACATCAATGATGAGAGAGTGGCCATTGATCAGCTGCCTCCTTCATGACCCCGGGAATGTGCCCTGACCGGGAACCGAACCACGGTCTCCTGGATCCTAGGCCAATGCTCAACTGCTGAGCCAGGCCTTGCGGGGCCAGACAACTGTTCTTAAGAGCCTAGCTCTGTAGCTGTGGTTAACCCAGTCTGCACATTAGAATCACCGGGGGAGCTTTCAAAAATTAGTTACGCCTGGGCTTCACCTGGACCAATTAAATTAAAATTTCTGTGGATGGGGTCTAGGCATTGGTATTTTTCAAACCCTCCCCAGGTATCTTTAATGTGCAGGCTGAGTTGAGAACTGCCGGTCTAGGGGAGACATGGACATGTCGATACATGTCTCCATGATGCCTTAATGCGATGTCTGCCATAACTGATGTGCGTACAGGAGCTTTGAAGCTCAGAGATAATGTCATTGTGGCAGAATCTGTTGGTATTGTAGGGGAGGCAACATTTTACCTCCACCCTCCTAGAGCTTTCCAGCCAGGCCTGAGAATTAAACTGACATAAAACAGATTAACGGGCGAAAAGCATACATATTTACATAAGTTTTCCATGACATGGGAGCCCTCATAAGAAAATGAAGACCCAAAGAAGTGGAAAAACATAAATACTTTTGTCCTAGGTTGAGTAAAGAGAGGCAATTGTAACCAAAATATACAAGGGAAAAGTAACCAAAATATACGAGGAGGCCAGAGGAAGATTAGAATTGTTTTAACAAGGTCTGTTTGTGCAGAGTTCTCTCGGCTTTGACTCCTCATTGAAGAATGTGTCTTTTCTCCCAGTACAGGGGGAGCACCTTTCACATGGCAGTTTCTGTCTTCTCTTTTCTGGAATAAAATGGGAGATTGGAATGCCCTTCTGGTGTCTGTTGTTTTTTTTATGTTCCTTTAGCTCAAAATAATCCTTATGCCTAAGTGGCATATTTTGGGGTGGCCTATTCTGTCACCCTTCAGTATCCATTCCTTATCTCCTTCCTTGATGACACATACTGATTTGGGAGTAGCAATGTACTCAGTCTGTCATGACAGAGTCTGATTGGTCCTTTCAGTTTATTAGAAATCCTGGCCTTAGCTGGTTTGCTCAGTGGTTAGAGCCTCAGCCTGCAGACCCTAGGGTCCCAGGTTCAATTTCGGCCACGGGCACGTGCCTCAGTTGCAGGCTCGATCCTTAGCTGGGTCAGGGTGAGTGTGAGAGGAAACCAATTGATGTGTTTCTCTCACACTGATGTTTCTCTCTCTCTCTCAAAAATATCATCGAGTGAAGATAAAAATAAGTAAATAAATTAAAATTTAAAAAAAGAAATCCTGTTGCCCACTTTTCCCAGTCACCATTGCAGTTGTGGTGGCCCAATTCTGATCAATAATATATAAGTGGAAGTCTACTCAAGAGGTTTTTGGGACAGTCTTTGATTCCTTTTCCCTACTGCTTTCTCCTGGCTTTGGACACGAAGGGTCAACTATGGCCATCTGTGACCTTGGGGCAATAAAGCAGGAAGGAAAGGTCAAGAGCATCATGGAGACATTGGCCTGGATATCACTGAATCACTCAACCAACACCAGCAACCGTCTACCTCTGGACTCATTAAAAATAAATCCCTGCTTCAGTGCTTCTAAACTTGGCTGCACATTAGAATGTGGGAGGTTTTGAAAACTACTGATATCTGGGTCCACCATAGAGATTCCGATTAAATGAACCTGGCATGTTTCTGGGAATGGACTTTTAAAACTTCCTTAGGCAATTCTAATAGCACTCTGGGGGCAGAATTATTCCTTTGCTTGTGTTTTCTGTTGCTTTCAGATGAGATCATTCTTATCTGGTACGACTAACTTTTCCAGGATAACAGGGAAGGAGTGACATTTGAGCTGGGTGGTTAAGGCTGAGTTCCTCGGCTGGAACAGCAGAGTAAGTGCAGGAGCAAGGGAGCATGAGAAGGCCTGGCCTCTCCTAGATTGCAGAGTGGAGGAGTGGTGGCAAAGGCTATGGTTAAACTGGAAAAGGACCAGATCCTTGTGGCCTTGTATACCCTGTAAGAATTGGGACTTGGTTTAGTAGCTGATGGATAGAAGGGTTTTAAAATTAGCTTTGATATTTGGGTCACTTTGCTGGCTGTGTGGAGAATGTATTGGTGGAAGAAAGACCAGTTACTACGACAGTCCAGGTGGGAGATGCAGGGCTTGAGTGGAAGCCATGGTGTGGGACTGAAGGAGCCATGAGCTGGGTGTTCCATCCTTTGCAACGGCCTGCGGGGTGCATAGGAAAACTCACAGGCCAGGCTCAAGATCATCCGAGATTTGTGCCATTGGGTACATCCTTCCCCAAATACCTTAGGCCTTTGGTTCTCTGGACCTCATCGTCTCTGAGATCCCTTAATGCCTGATGTTCAATGTATCTATGATGGTGGGGCAGGGAAGAGGCTGAGGCATGGCAGGACCTGGCTCCCAAGTTCAGGGCCCAGGAAAGTGGGCCTCTCAGGTCTCCGCCCTGGGTGGGCTGAATCACAGTTTCTCCCTTCAAGGGCAATAACTCTATGCCCAAAGGTGTGACCTTGAAGGGAAGAAATTCAGCAGGCCTTCAGGCCCCTGCCCGCCTGATGTTGGAAGCCCCCATGTTCAGCCTAGGTAGAGGCGGATAGTTGAAAGGAAAGGAGGAGGGCTAGCTACTTTATCTGTCATGTCAGCCAGGGACCCATCTAGTGCCAGTGTCCTGGGCAGTTTAGGCACGAGGGGCAGTAAAGGGCTCTGCTATTCTTGTTCCTTGTGGAAAATGGCAAAGCGTGTACACACCTCCTGCTTCCAGCCTTGGATGTACTCTCGCAATTGTTCAATGCACATCTCCTGGGCTTCTTAGGTATTGGGGATGCAGAGAGAAGTGAAACATCCCCCAGAAAATGCGGGAAGATGGACGTGGGCACAAATACAGCCACCTGATAGCCTAGGGGAGGGCTCTAGCTGAGGTGTCAGCAGGGGTCAGAGAAGCCCAAAGGATGAAGGAGTGGACGCTGCTGGGACGGTTGGGGAAGGCTTCACAGAGAAGGTGACAGGTGAGCTAGGCCTGGTGGAACGACTAGGAGTCTACCAGATGGAAAAGAATCGGAGGAGAAGCATCATAGGTGAGGTAAGAGCAAGAAAGAGCAAGGTGTGTTCTGAGAGTGGAGCTCAGTGCAGCTCTAGTCTGGGATGTGTGGGTGAGTTACCCCCTCCGGCTAACATTTACTGAGAATCCACCATGTGCAGGAAATGCAGCTGAGTAAGACACGGAGCAAGCACCCTATCAGGGGGAGTGGGTGTGTAATCGATAACTTAAATATAGCACCCTCAGGGCAGGAAAAAGTCTTTACAAGGCACCTATGGAAACATAAGGGACACCCAGGACTGGGGTAGCCAGGAATGGTTTTTTGGGAGAAATGCTACTTCCCAGCTGTGTGGCCTTGGGTAAAATCTTTACACTCTCTGGACTGCAGTTTTCTCATTTGTAAGGATAATGCCTACTTCCCAGGGCTGTTTAAAGAGTAATACAGGTTATACATGTACAGCCTTTGCCCAGCGCCTGGAACACAGCAAACGCTAAATAACGTTAGCTGTGATTGTCACTGAAGGAAGTTGGTTGAAGCCAGGGGAAGGCTGCCTAGTGGGGCCACCCAGAATTTCTAGAGAGGCAGGTTCTACCTGGGGTAGTGATGCAATTAGAAGGGCACCAGAGGATCTTTTCTGAAAGCTACTGTTTTTATATGCATTGCCCCTTTGATCTGTATTATTAAGTTTTCTAAACTGTTTTTTACCTGCCACAGGAGAAAATATCAATTATCCATATCTAAGAAAGTGCAGATCGAAGGGATCCTAAAGAACAGCCCTGCTCTTGGTTCCCAGAGAGCGGTTCTGGTTCCCAGGCCTTGGCTCTGGCCCCGGAGGCCCTGGCGGGCTCAGCCCT